GCCAGATATTACTCATCCTGCAGGACTCCAGCTAAAGAGCAACTTTGGAAACCATTATGGTGGTGATAACAGTGCTGTCAAATACAACAATGCAGATTTAATGAGAAAAGATCAGGAGGATATAACTAAACTAAAGCCCAAAGTTAATAATGCCCTCCCTCCTCCTTATGTTAAGCCTAGTGTGAAGGCGAGAGACAGCAAAGATGGAGCATTTGCTCATTCAAGTTCCACTTTTGAAGGTAATGTGCCACCCGAAGATACTCCAAGCCAAAACAGACCTTATGCTGGTAGGTGTGAAAGGGTTGAAGTTGGATCCAGTCATTCTGGTAATGATAGACAGGTCACTGGACCTGTAAAAGTAGACAGCCATGGTTATGAGAAAGATCCTAGCTATCCAGGTGGTGACATTGGCAACCCCCTACCAAGACCAAGATCTATGAGAAGAAGACACTCAAAATCATCATCTAATCATGACGATATTGGCAACGGTGAAGATATGGGACTGATGAAGAGAAAGCCACGAAGCAGGAGAAGGGAAAACTCAAGGCGAGGCCTGCAAATCCTGTTTGATGATGAGCATTATCAAAATGATGAAGAGGAAAGAATAATAGATAAGTTGTTGATGCACTACAGTAAGAAACCTTCATCATATGAACAGGGGAAGATGAGAAATAAGTCTAAAGGTCATCATTCACATGGCCCACATGAAGGTGGAGAATTCCCACAGAATGGCAACAGAAATGGGTCAGATGACATGCTGGAGACAGTTCCTCCCCCTGGCCGATCAATTTCCCTTCCTCGTGAACAAACTGGTCCATCTGAAGTGAAAAAGGTATTTGCTCGTGCTGCTTCATTCCAGCCAGATAGGTCAAATGCAGCGCGGCATGTGCATCCCAAGTTACCAGATTATGATGATCTGGCTGCTCAATTTGCAGCACTGAAAGGGAGGTAAAGGCACTGAGAGACCAGGATCAATATATTTGCGTCATCAATATGCTTGTGTTCTATTGTAATCTGTTACACATTTGTTTTAAAGAGCTGGTCTGGTTCTTACTTGGACCAAGCTTTTAGTTGGGCTTTCAGCCGATCGCAGCAATGAGCGAGACATTAACAGGCTTGTGTTCTATTGTAATCTATTACACACATTTGTTTTAAGGAGCTGGTCTGGTACCAAGCTTTTAGTTGGGTTTTCAGCTAATCACAGTGATGAGCGGGAGATTTACAGGTTGACCTGCACCAGAAATTGTTGTTATTCAGTAATCAGTATATATTCTGCTTTCCAATTTATGGATAACGGCAGGTGTATGTAGCCTATATCGTCAATTCAATCCCAGAGAGCGTTGATTGTAGTAATTTGTATCATTGCATGTTATTCAGGTTCTCTGTTTGGCTGACACATACAAGCTACGCTGGAACTGCTGCTGTTGTATTAGAATTCCACATTATAATAGTGATTACTTACTGTTTCCTTATTTATTTATTTGGTTATGGTTTTGTACTCAGTTGAAATCTTATCTTGCCCTGATTTAGACTGATGATGTTATATCTTGGAAGCGAGGATTTTATAGGGCGGAGTATATAAAATGTTAAAACGTCATATTTCCGTTGGCTTATGAATCCCAGTTCTATTGTCAGTTTCGAGTAGAGATGGTAATGATGGAAACCACATTCAACATACTAACTACCATGTTGCTATGAAATGACGACTATAGCCTTGAATGTCAGAGAAAGCCACCAGCAGCTCAGACCATTCCCCAGGCTCCATATGCGACTCAAAGATTCGCTTCCCATCTCCTTTCATTGTCAAAAGGTAAGAAACTGTTTCCCGCCAAAAAAAAAAGTTCCTTTTACCCTCTTATTTTTAATATTATTATTTCATCTCACTCCTCTTACTGCCTCTTACTTCACAGTCTTCTTCACTCTCCTCCACAGTCATCACACACACAGGCGAAACGCCAAGAAAGATGAAGAGCTCGTCCAAGGTGATAATGGGGGCAACTCTGATGATGGTAATAAGCTTGGCCATAGTGTCGGGCCTGGTCTTGGTGCTTTTAGCTGAGCTATACTGCTCTCTTTTACTACGTAGGCGCAGGGTCAGGCTCCCCACGTCCCACTCCACTTCAACCACCACCGCTACAGCTGCAACAACGCCAGTCTCCTTTCTGTGTTCCTCTTTTCATCCTCAAGACTCCGACAATCAAGCAGCCAGTCCTCTCAGTAGCTTCTATGCACAGGGTGTGCTTCATGCCCCAAGAAGCTTCCTGTTCCCCCAAGTTTCTCCCAGAGAAGCCAAAAACGGACGCTCCAAATTTCATCAAGTCCTTCAATTCCATGCAAAAGAGTGTTTGAACACAAGCCCTCGTCAGATTGGAATTCTATCTCCTTCATCTGCATCGACGTCCTTTGGAACTTCACCTCAACTAATCCAGGAAATCCCAATTCAAGGTTGCAGCAGTAGCAGTGCTACCAAGGAGAAAGCTTGTGGTGGCAGTGGTGGTGGTGGTGATGATGGCGTGGAACATGTTGTTTACATATCTAATCCTATTTACGATAATGAGGCGTGCAGGCCGAGCAGGGCAGATACACCCTTTGAAACCCCAGACTCGTCACCTTCACATTTAGAAGAACCAGAAGAAGAAGAAAGCGGCTCTTCTGGTGATGAAGAGATAGCTCAGCCAATCTCTGCTGTCGGTTTGCCAATAACACCTCCATTGTCGCCAATGAAGAAGCTCCCGGCAGAGGCTTGTTCTATTTCACTTAGAGACGCCGGTTCCCTGGGAACTTCTGGCAGTGATTCTAACAGTAACAACGGCATTTCATCGTCGTCATCAGGTACTCCATGCACATCTCCATCATGGTGATTGATTAGATTCTTTTTCCCTCTCTTTTTATTGTTTCCTTTTGTGGGTCAAAATCAAAATTACGCTTTGAAACCTGTGTGTTTGCCATGTGAGTTTTAAGGCAAGGGAGGTGGGTAAGTGTTGTTTTTGTGAATACGGGTGATGAAGATGTGTTAAGGGTAGAGCAATGAAAGAGGGGAGAAAAGTACTGTTTTGACAACTTTTGTTGGCCGGGCGTGACCATGGTTCTGCCACCAAGAAGCCACGCTTGTGCTAACTAAAAATTCCTACTCAGTTCCTTCGTTTTTATTGCATGTACCTGTTTGTTTCCATTTGCTTGTATGAGCGCCTATGGAAAGTCGCTTAATGTTTTATGTAATAATATAAGCCTTTGTTTTTTGTTCCCTTTTTTTTTTTTTAATTGAACTGTGAACTTGCATGTGGGTTTTGAGAATGACTACGGGCCCAAAAGAAAAAAGAAAACACATAAGGTTAAAAAAATGAAGAAAAGAAATCTCTGTTTTTGAGATACATCGAATGTTGATTTCGATGCATAGAAAAAGAAAGGCAAAACAAGAACTGTCAGCTGGGAGGTATTTGTCCACATTATTATATATAATGACTGATCTTTGTTTGTTTGCTTGAGAGCCCATAAGGTAAGAAGCTTCAGTTTTTGCTTCGACTGGAACCAAAAAAAAAAAATTTAATTATGGAGTGTTGGTTTGATTTTGGCACCCTTCATATTGATAGAAAAATATTAATTGGTCAAGAGACAAACTCTTTGCCCTTCTTGGTTTCTAAACCCCTTGGATATGTCCAAATTCGTCCTCCCAGATCCTGTTGGGCTTTTCTAGGATTTGGCTTCCTTGTTGAAAATTTTAGTGTACAATTTCTACCATCATACGTTCTTGTTGCAGAGGATGCTCGTTCTGACGGATTAAACTTGATACACGAGCACTCTGAGATAATTGTTTTAAAGTTGGAATATACTACTTTGAAGTCAAGTCTTTTGAAAATTTGGCACTTTTTTTTTTTATAATTTAATGTTTACTATTTCATTACAAGATCTATGATATATGTAACGGCTCTAGAATTTTAAAATGAAATATGTGTATTAAAAAGGTTAAATGCGGAAGCGTAATAAAATTTTTTGATTAACATCCCTTACACTAAAATAAAAAACGTGCTCAAAATATAAAAGAACAAACTAACTAAAAGAGAAACTCGAAAATAAAAGGTATAAATATAACTACGGAGTCTTCAGGTGTCCCCTTCGCCATCTTCCTGCGGAACGGGCTCGGAAACAATGTCTTCCTGATATGAAATGATTAAATAAGGAATGAGCTACACCAGCCCAGTAAAGACATCACACTATTTCACCGTCACGGAGGTAAAGGTGGGTAGAAAACACAAAAAAACCAATGGAGCATAATTTACAATAAATTTTTTTATCAATAATAAAATCCTTTACTATCCACTTACCTCGGTGAAATTCATAAAACAATATACGAAAACAATAACATTATCATCATCATGAAATCATATGAACTGTATAACATAATACTTATCACGCCTTTTGCATTTCAATCATTACACAACATATTTTTCCTCATTTACCAGCCTACTAGTATCCATGGGGATCCATAAGGGTCCCGCTACCCGTGAACCCTTAACACTTGTAATCAGATTCCAAGGTCGTCCCCATACCCCGTCCGGTATGAGCGCCAAAACTATAAACCTCAATACCCCGTCCGATATGAGGGTGAAACGGGCCGTCCCCATATCCCGTCCGGTATGGGCGCCAAAACACATAAGGTCTCCATATCTCGTCCGGTATGAGAGACTACAATCCCGGTAGGGTTCCCTACGGACTGGTCCGTCCACCATCTCCCAGGATATCTAGTCAAGCTGACCACATTATATAATTATCAATTTACATAACTTTTTATTCCCCTTTTTCCTCAGTCAGCATCATCAAATCACACACAAACAAGCAAACCAGTAATTTATGCCAAACAAGACAACATACAACATCGGGTTCTCAGTCATTCAACCTATAATCAATAAAACAGTGATATATGTACACGAAACTATGAAATGAAAATATCATACCTCATACTGCATTTAAAACTATAAAATAGGCCAAACAACAGCTGACCGATAAACACACCAGACTCGGGCTCCATTAGCGACCTTAAACAATTTCACACATCTATTGATTCATGAAATACCGTTTTATCATTTATTGAACTTTAATACCGTGATAGGAAATAGGGTGAGGGGTCCTTACTTGTTTCGGGGTCCGAATACGGCTCTACAGTGCGCCTACAGGCTGTCCCTAATTTTTCCTGAATTTTTTCCGAGGAACTGAAACGCACTAGTAGTACCTGCACGTGTCCCAAAAATTCCAAATTAGACCCAGGGCCCCTTTCGGCCAATATCGAAATTCCGGCACGGCGGCTTCGCCGTGCTCTGGCGACTGCGCCGCCGCAAGCGGCGGCGATTAGCCTCGGGTTGGCCATTTTCTGCCGTTTCTGGCCGAATTCGGCCACACTTGCATCAGTCCCTGCGATAAAACAACCCTAGGGCCCTCGGGGGGCCAAAAATTTTACGAAAAACCGAAGCTTACCGGCGGCGGTGTTCTCGGGTGCGGCAGCTCTCCGGCGAGGTTCGTGTTTTGGTGATTTGGCTCCGATCAACCTGTAGAGAAAAGAATGGTGATCACGGTGATATAAAAATTGGATCAAACGGAGGCCGGGAAGGGCCTCATCGGAGGCAAAAACTGAGGAGGGGCACGGCGGCGCCGCTGGGTTTTGGCCGTGTTTTTCGGCCGTTTGGCCGGG